AAATAGAACAGAATAAAATAGAACAAAACAGAATATAAATGTTTTCCGAGCTCAAGAGTTCCAAGGTTTTTTCAGTCCTGCCAGAAACAACAAAAGGAAATTCACCCAGAAATTCAAAATTAGGACCCGAACCCACTTCTTCGGCAGCACAAAGCCAATTTATTCCGACTAAATTCTCATATAAATCAATTTTAAAGCAATTTTAAATCAATATTCCAAACCCAGGAGGTTCCCTGAGACCCCGCCCTTCCCCCCAGACAGTCACCTCAGTGATAAACCAGATCAAAGCAACAGCTACAGAGCTCCCTTCAGAGCTGCTGGAACAACTGCTGCCTCCTCCCAGGGAATCTGCTGCCACCTCCCAGGGAATCTGCTGCCTCCTCCCAGGGAATCTGCTGCCTCCTCCCAGGGAATCTGCTGCCTCCTCCCAGGGAATCTTTGGCTCCTGGGGACTCAGTTACCTGCTCAGCCCTTGCCTTGTCCCTGGTGGCAGCACAGCCCCTGCCCAGGACCTGCAGGAGCTGGAGCAGCATTTTCCATCCAGGAAGGGCGGGCTCAGAGCAGCAATTTTCCTGCTTGTGGTGTCGTTCTCCCTGGAACGAGTGGCCCAGTGTGGTGTCCAAGGGAGCTGAGCTGGGAGACCCAGCAGGTGAGAGCTCCACGTCCCCTCCGGAGTCGCCTCATCCCCGCACATCCCTGCACATCCCCGCACATCCCTGCACATCCCTGCACATCCCTGCACGTCCCTCCCGTCCCTTCCCCAAGGTCTGGGCCCAGCAGATCTCCCTGCAGGTGGCCTTTGCCTCTAAAAATAGCCTTTGTGCAATTCCCGAGGAAGGGAAGAGCAATTACACCTCCAGTCTGGGAGAAGCATTCCCTCCCTTTCCACGGGCTGACTCCAGAGCCTCCCGGGGTAACAGGCAGAGCTTTTGTGCTGAGGTTGCTGCCCCGGAGCTGAGGTGACCTCCCCGAGCCTCTCCAGACCTGCACCCAAACCAGTGGTTGAGGTCAGGGCGGCCCCACCTCCCGAGCCCCAGACAGGGTTCAGCTCTCCCTCCCAGCCATGGAAAGGGACGTTCTTTCCTCACCCCCTGTCGCAAGTCGGGGCCGCGAATTCGGCGGCGAAAACGCCCCGAAAACCTCAGGTCTTGCTCAAATAAAAGTGGTGTCTCAACACTCCCAGCTCTGCCTTGATGTGCCTCCTCCAGAGTCTCTCCAGGGTGCCCTGATGGAGGGACACAGCCCAGCTCAGAGCTGACGGGGCACAATCACTTGGGAATGTTGCCCAAAAATCCTGGTGCAGCTCTGGAGCTGCTGGAATCCCTCCTATGCTTCCAAACCCTCCTGGAATCACCCCTGTGCTTCCAAACCCT